CGTGTTGGTTGAATACATGTCTACGTACTGTTACAATTCCTAAGTCCATGTTACAATTCCTATGAATTACTCATGTTGTTTTACTTAATCCACTAGATTAAAAAGAAATGCTGTTTATTAAAAAGAAAAAATCTCCTGTCTTGACAGATAAGGAAAATGAAGCCTGGGGAAGCTAGGGAAGTTCTATGGGAGCCTGAGGGAGTAAGAGGACTAGGATTTTCGTCCCAGTTTATTTCACCTCAAGACTGTCCCTTTCCTTAGTCAAGCAGGCACTATCTGGACTGTGTAGCTCTTGTGCAGGGAGACAAGAGGAGTTAACCTGGAATAACAACTTCGATGACCAGTTTTAAGTGCCCGGTTCCCTATTATTTCCATGTTTCTTTTTTTTAAATTTCCATGTTTCTTTATCTGAATTTTCTGTCTACTTTGATGGTTCATGAAAACCATTTGAGTTCTGTGAAAGCAGCAATTAGACCCATTTATCATACTGCAAGAGCACCACAGTTTACTCCAAAGAGCCAACCTCTTGGATTATCTCATCTCTATTCAGGTTTTCAGGGATTTTCCTTCATGAATTGGTTCCCAGGTAATACATATGAGGCATTAAGCAGCGTATTACATTTGACCTTCTCTCTTGCTCTTGTAAGAGAGCTGTGAGAATGAGTGCATTAATGACTAAAAAGTCAAAAGAAAAGCAAGAGATGTATACACCAGCATTCTTATTTATTGGTGGTGTTCCTCCCTGTCTTTGGGATGCTCACCACATCACACCCAATGGAGAGAGGATCTGCTGAACATCCTTTACCATGTGCTCATGGAAGTTGTCTTAACATCTGCTGCATCTGTGAAAATGCCTTCACTTTTCTCTTAATACAGAATGCTACCTTTTTCCTTTTAAAATGTGTAACTATGGAATTCCTAGGATAAATCACACCAATAAATACTTTATATTGCAGTAGGCGTATACATGGATTCAATTCTTTTGGAAAGCCATTTGTAAATACGTATCAAGAACCTCAAAAATGTCTCCTTGGTTCAATACTAGCACTTCTGGGGAAGTTATCCAAGACAGACATATAGAGAAAATCTTGATATAAAGACATTCATTCATTCATGCTGTTTATAAGAAACACCATCAATGATCAACAAAAGTGTACAACCACATCATAAATTTTATTTTGATGTTCATAGAATGGCATGAAGCAGGCAACTTATGTACTAAATGAACAAAGGAGGATACTAAACTGTACATAAGGAGTAATGGCAACTGTGAAAATGTGTGCACCAGGGAAGATTCAATTAAAATTCAATTCATTCAATTAATTAAATAAATTAAATTATTTGAAGTTTTTTCAAATAAACTCAAAATGTACTAGTGTTTGGGTGGTATAATTATCATCAATTTCTTCTACATTTCTAAGTAATAAATGTTCACGAACAACCACACTTGTCTTTTATAATCAGAAAAAGAAATCCTTATTTTTGAATGAGCTTTTCATTCTTGATGTTTGTGTTGAAAAAGAATGGCAGAAATTAGGACATATTAGTTTTATAACTAAGAAACCAGAGAAAGACTTTTAGACATATTTCAGAAGAGACACTGAAGTAAGAAACTTAAGTAGCAAGTCGTCATGGAGTAGGAGTGGTCAGATGTTGGAAAGATCCAGAACGACTTCCAGACACTCTTGTGGTGGTCAAGAGAGAGAGGAATCTAGCCACTGAAACTTCCCGACAGAAGTCCTGAACAACAATTTGCATTGCCTCCTAAAATAAAGAAGCCTGTGGCCTTGAATAAAGTTGCAGAGAACAGAGGGATGTCTAACAAATAGATAATTAGAATCCTCTAAGCAGAGGGAAGGTGTGACGTTCACGACTGGCTTTAAAAATAGTGATCTTTAAATCCCAAGTAGTGTCAGAATCACATGAGAATAGGTGGAACCTTGGCAGCCCTGTGAGACAAGTAAATATAGAGCAAGAGCCTGAAGAGCTATGATTCAGTAAATATGTGTTTCAGGAGACTCTTCCCCAGCACATCCCCAAACCCATACCGTCTACCCTGGTGTGAAGCCAGAGCTACAGGGTGTGCAAGGCGGTCCCACCTAGACTCCCAGCTCCAGAGTCTGACAGGGCCAGAGGTACCACCACTTGACAAAGAGATCAGCCACATCGTGCAAACAACGCAGAACACTCATGTTCCCAAGAGAGCAGTGACTAAGGCGGCAACATGCTGAAATCACTCGGGCACCTTGTCAAAGGCAGAGATGATCCTTGGCCCAGGCTGAAGTCTGCAGCACCGGGGAAGATATCATAGGTTAAGGATTTTTTGTAAGTGTACCAAAAACCTTTCTGGCGTAAGTTCTCGGACATATCACCATCAACAGATTTCCCCATGAGTCATGGCGCAGCTCATCACACCAAGCCAGATGCAAATTGTCTGTCCTAGACCACTGCTCACAGTCCGTGCTAAGGCCCGCTTAACTCCTGGATTCATTCCAACCCCAGGACTCAGGTAAATCACCTGTTAAAAATGCATCTCCTCTAGTGCCTGGCATTGGAGGTCTCAAGCGAGGCCCAGGAATTTGCATTTTAATAGCATCTCAGTTTATTGTGATAGAGAGAATCCACAAATTGAAGTCAGAGATGCTGTTCTGGGATGTTTGTTGATCAATCCGTGAACAACACTTTCTACACTACTGTCAGTTTTACAGATAAGTCATTTAAACACCACTCATGCCAGTTCTTAATAAAAGCAAGGCCACTCATTTTGTTCTCAACCCAGCTGCTATCAGTATTTTTAACCAAACTGTTGGATAGACACAAAGCAGAAGATTTCATGATGGTGAAATTTTCAGATGACACTAGGTGGAGGGAGATCGCCAAAACATTATTAGATAGTTGGACAAGGATTTTAAAAGGTTCTGGCATCCCTGGGAAAAAATAAGTCAAAACTAACCAGATGAAAATAAATATGTATAAACAACCAGCCCTGTAATTTGAATCAAGAATAGCGTGCCCAAAGTTGAAAGAGCCTGGTTTAGCAGGTAAACAAGGCTCAGAGGTTCAAAATGAGCTCACCTGGGTGGGTGTGATTGGACGTCAATGTTCAGCGCTCATGACAGAGGCAAGAGTAAACCCAAGACATTGCACTTTGAAAAACCACATCCGGAGTGCTGGATTCCACATCGAGAGCCACATTTACAGGCAAGTTTAAAAACTGAAGTAGATCCAACAGAGACGACTGAGATGGTGATGATCCCTGAAACCATTCTGTCTGAGGAAGCAGTGGAGGAATGGGGAGCACTCCCATAGAGAAAGGAAGACCCAAGATGGGTTTCAGAGCCAGGGTCAAATCTGTGACAAGCTCTGATGAAGGAAGAATTTACTCACCCTTTGTTTTTTCCAGGGAGTGAAACCAAGGTCAATGGGAAGAAATCATATAAGCAATAGTGTCACTGAGAATAGTGTTAGTTTGTTACCCTTGCTAGCCCACCACCATGGGGACCATCTTCATGTGCCCCCTTCCAGACTCACAGATAATCACTGTGTCACCGGTCTGGGGCCTGCAGAGTCTTAGCCCCAACATCTCCTGCACGGCAAAGATTCCATCATCCAGGCACTATCCTCTGTGCACCAAGCCCCCATGTACTTCTCCATCATTTACCAAGTAATTTACATTTTGTAACCGTAAGTTGCCTGCTTCTCACGTCATTGGTGGATGAACACCATATCCCCGCCTCATTGTGCATATCCCTGCCTCATTCACTGACATAGGACTAAGTCTTACCAATTTCCTTATCTCCCAACAACAAAGAGATTCTTAAGAAATGCAGAGAGAGATAGAGTGTGTGTGTGTGTCTAGGACCCATAGCTAATTGACTGACACCTCCCAGGTGTGAACTAAATCAAGAATGAGATGCAAACTAGAAGCTTCACTCAGAAAACGCTTTTAAGGCATGACTAATGACATCCTTTTAGAAGAGATCAGTCTAAAGAAATGAGAACTCAGTCTGATGCACTGCCATGAACTCTCTCTGTATGAAAACCACATGGCGAGTTGGCAGTGAACTCTTGGTAAGAGATCCAAAGAGAAAGAATAGAAATGTTGTTCCTTAGAATTCAGCAGTGGCCCCTGAAGCAGAAGAAACATAATCTCGATCATTTGTTTTACTTTAATTCTCTTATTTGATTGCTAGTATTTCTAAGATAAACTAAGGATCTTTATACTTAAAGCTGATTTGTCCTGAGCCAGTAGTATTTCATTATATACAAAGACAATATTATGAAAACCAAAATTATCCTAATCAAGTATATAAAATTAAGACATTAAAGTTGAAAGCTGGATTGTATCATGTTGCACTGGGTATGTGTAATGACGGAAAAAGTTTTCTCATAAAAATAGTTACATATTACTTACTTTTTAAAATGGAGTCAGGGAGTAATAAAACTGATTTGTCATTAAACATACTGAATTACGATTCCCAAAATCTGCAGGCTTGAAATTATTTGCCAGCTTCCCTATCCTGGAACCAGATGACAGAAGACAAATGGGACTATGATGTGCATCCCACAGAATGAGCTTAACAGATGAATTTCTCCAACGAAGATATACAAAGGGCCAGTGAGCACATGAGAGGATATTCAACATTGTAGTCACCGGGAAAACACAAATCAAACCCTCATTTATACATCACTTCACACCCCAGTAGGACAACTGCAATAAAAAAGACAGTTATAACAAGTATTGGAAAGAAGTGAGAAATCAGAACCATCGTACATGACTGGTGGGCACGTAACACGGCATAGCCCCCTTCCGGTTACAGTCTGGCAGTTCCCCTAATGACTGTCCATCGAGTTACCATTTGACCCAACAATTCCGCTGTTACAGAAATGAAAACATGTTCACAGAAAAACCTGTACACAAATGCTCACAGCAGCATCACTTACCACAGCCAAAAAATAAGAACAACCCAACTATCGGCTGGTGAATCAACAAAATGCGGCACATCCACACCACAAAACGCCATTCGGCCGTGAGAAGAAATGGAAAACTGCCACATGCTGTAGCGGGACGCACCTTGAAAACATGGCAAGGGAAAGAAGCCTGTCAAAAGACCACGTATTGTATGATTCTTCTTCTATGAAATTTTCGGGAGAGGCAAACCGAAAGAGAAAGTGGATTTGTGGTTGCCTGGAACTAGAGGCAGGAATGGAATGTCTTGGGGAATGTTAGCTAGAGAAAAGGTGTTTCTGGACCAATAGAAATGTCCTGGGGCACCTGGGTGGCTCAGTGGGTTAAGCCTCTGCCTTCGGCTCAGGTCATGATCTCAGGGTCCTGGGATCAAGCCCCGCATCGGGCTCTCTGCTTAGCAAGGAGCCTGCTTCCTCCTCTCTCTCTGCCTGCTTCTCTGCCTACTTGTGATCTCCGTCTCTCAAATAAATAAATAAAATCTTTTTAAAAAATGTTTCAAGTTATTTAAAAAAAAAAAAGAGAGAAGGGAGTTAAGGGAAATTGGAAGGGGAGGTGAACCATGAGAGACTATGGACTCTGAAAAACAATCTGAGGGTTTTGAAGGGGCGGGGGGGGGGAG